AATGCTTAAACAGTGGCACCAACACTAAACTCATTCAGACTCAATGTGAACAGATGTTATAAAAATACTTTAAACCTTGCTTACTGAAGGTGAGCATGAGAAAAATAACAAGAGGTATGCTTGAGGATTGTATGCACTCTGAAAGCAAAAGTACAAACAAAATATGGTAGAAACCAAAGTTTTCTCCTGGATATTGTTGCGTCAGCAAGTCACATGACCACTGTGGCGCCCTCTAGTTTCTAGAACTATCTTGTTCTTTCAGGAATGCTCTAGTAATTACTAGATATAGGGTAGGCTGGTATATAAAAGAGGGGGAATGTAATGTGTGCGTAGATAGTGAGTAATTGATCTGCAGTCAGAAGTATTATTGAGGACGTTCGTTGTTATAGCGTTTGTTTAGCGCGATTGTTGAAGTTGAATGTATCGGTAAAGTTGTATTCGGAAAGAATAAACCAGTTTTATTAAGTAAAGAACTTGTGTCGCTAAAGTTTCGTCGGAACGAAGTTACAGGAAGTTAATTAACAAACGGAGACGTAACACTTTCATGTAATGTCACTAGCATGATTACAAAACCCCTACAATTTGTCAATTTCTGTTCAACGTTTATCGCTTACACTGGTATACACTTTGCTTCATTTGGTATGTTATCAGTCTCACATATCACAAACAGTCCCATATAATCCAGTGTTTATTCATTTTGTACACCTCTATTATGTATTGACGTAAATACCCTTTCTAATACATACCATGTATACTACACAAACGATATGTTAAGTAAGTCTAGCAGTAGGTGGCTGATTGCTATACTTATAGTACATGTCTAGGGTGAGAGGTATTTAGGCTCATGTTCATCATGTATGATATAGCAATCAAGTGAGCGTAATAATTCATTTTTAGGTACGTTTTCCGGAAGTAAGTGTATGACCTGTTTAGAAGTCTGGACTATTCTTTGTTAACGAATAGTGGGATTGGCCGTTAAAGGGCGAACAAGTTCGATGACGCGATTCGAACCCACAGATTGCTAGTCAGCGCCCAAACCAACAGGTCGTACTAGGCCTACCGTTGAAGTAGATTGATACGTTACAATACATTTCACTAATTCAAATTTTAGAAATGTCATAACCTTTCTCTGTTTTTCATATAGTTTATTTTACTTAAACGAACATGTACGTTAAAGAAGTCATTATAGAGTAAATAAAAATTAAGTCAGTATTTGGTTTTTATAGAAATAGTACTATATGAAATGGATTAGTTTTAAGCGTAGAGCTAAAATAATCCGCCTAGATAACATATTCTCATAATTTCTCACTGAGTTCGTGATTACATAAATGCACCAATAAAACAAGTGTTTCAAAACAAATTTGAATCGAAGGTAAAAATGATAACGTTTTTGATTTTTTTTGTAGACTTTTAACATACTATAACTCATAGCACGTTCCGATGAGGAAGTCTGTACTTTTTTAGGAGTTTAGAACGATGTCGACGCAACATCAGCGCTTGAACAACGAATTACCTGTAGGTACGTCTAGACCCTTCAATGAACGTTTAACCCCCCCCCCCCATTTCCTCCCTCGGTACTCCACTCCCTCCTTTCTTTCACCTATATAATTTTAACATTCTTCCTGCCTGATTATTTATCGACCACTATCTGTGAGGTTAATTGTAGGGTTGGTACCAAACGCATCACATCATAAAGTTTAGACCAAGCCTTATCCTTTAAATTAAAAACCAGATTTTGTCCCATTTTTTTTTTCATAGACAATGTGTTTTTCAAGTAACTATAACTGCTTGTAATCACATTGTTTATTTTTTTAACTAACTCAATACAGTAAAATGATAAAAAAAAACTGATAGGTACATAAATATTTACAGGAGGAACATCGAAAGAAATATAGCATTTGTAAAATAATAATAATAATGAGGAAAAAAAAACACTACCCAAGTGTTATGAAAATACTTACACAGATATCAGAGGCACCGCACATCGACCCCCAAACATCAAAATTCCTGTGCAGCAATTCACAAGTTTCCCAACACTGTAAAGAGATATAACTATTAACGCTATGCTAAAAATTTAATATATTATAAATATTTGTATAATTTTCACCACACTTACTGCCCAGAACAGTACCGATTAATATCTACTGACATATGTTCGGACACATTATTATCTTATAGTTTGGGTCAATGATTATGATAAAATTGCGATTCTTTACCATTCAGTTATTCTTCTCGGAAATAACTTGATACATTTTATGAAGCTACTAATACATTATTATTAGAGTTAAATCTGCGTTCATATACATACTGGAAGAGATACAAATTCCATGTATATGAATTATACCATATGAATCAATTTTACTTGAGAACATTTTCACTGTTTTTAGATATTTAATTTTTAGATATTCACCTGTTCAGAAAGAAGTGTAAACACTCTCCGACTTCTTCTTGAGCAAATTACACAGAAACTGCATTTTAAACTTTATACCTGATAGATAATTTGTGATATAACTGCGCATCGAAAGTCACCAGTTCTTGCTGGAACAACTTGTTTTGTCTAACTTAGCTAATCCAAAAACATGTTTTTTATTACTGTCTATCACAACATGCGTTCGGCAAATTCTTATATTGAAGTTTGATTCAACAATGTAGGTTCATGATTTTTTTCGCATGTTATTACCTGGAATACCTATGTATAACAAATTAGCTTAACCTTGGATATTGTTATATGGGATACAGACGTATGACAACTTCGCTTAATCCCGCACGTTCTTACATGGAACACAGATGTATAATACCTT